AGGCAAAGAAGCATTAAACAGTCTGTCAAACTACAATAGGAAGGCTGGGGAAGGTTGTGGGCAGCGGTAAGAGATCAACTAAAGGACTTGTATGCATGCATATAAGCATTACCAATGGACACAGACAATGTGTGTGTGTGGTGTGTGAGGACCTGTGCTGGGAATTGGGGGAGGCCAGAGGAAGGTCAATGGGGAAATAAAGGAGACATATGTACTACTATTGGTAATACTTTAAACAATAAAATAAAAAGTTTTCTAGAATTGAACCTCTAGCAAAAGACTTGCTTAGATAGTGATGATGATGATTATTGGCATTCATAGTCTTGGAAAATACATAATACTGAAACTGAAGCATGTCGCGAGTTAAACAAATAAATACTGCCTGGACATTGTGGCTCAGTTGGTTGAACATCATCCCATGAACCAGGAGGTCATGGTATATGCCTAGTTGTAGGCTCAGCCCTCAGTAGAGGGCATGCAGGAGGCAGCCAATCCATGTTTCTGTCTCTCCCTTCCTCTCTCTGAAATAATTTTTTTAAAATTAATAAACATTAAAGGCAGAAGGATCTAGTTATCTCCTTATAAAATAAATAACGTATATGCTCTAATGCTAACATTCAAATGATGAGCCTTTCACAATAATGAATCTAATTTAACACCTCATAAGTGAACTTTTGCTAACTGATGAGGATAGATATATTCTTCTATTTTCATTCTTACATGTTTTACAATAGGCATATGCAATTTTATATGCTACTTCAGCCTTCAAAATGCCTTTTCCTTTTAGATACTTTAAAAACAAATACTATCACTAAGTAAGTGGCAGGTACTGCTCAAATTCTGCATATTTCAAACTTTAATGCAAGGTATTTTATAAATCATCTGCATATTTCAAACTTTAATGCAAGATATTTTATAAATCACTCTATTTTTTTTTTCCTAGGAAGAACTGGGAAATGTAACAGGTGATTGTGACTTCTAGTTATGTCTAAGTTTCAACTTTAAATATATTCACTCTTTTATTTCTTCAACATTATTTTTGTGAAATTTATACATTCTATTGCATGTAGCAATATTCCTTCATTATTATACTCATTTTAACATAATATTCCCCTAAAGTTTAAGTATTTGTCCAGTGACCTGAAGTAGAAAAATAAACAAACAACACACACAAGAGGAGCAACAATGACTGGAATTCCCTAGAAACATGTGGAGCAAAGTAGTCCAAAGGTTGATTGTAGAAGAGATGCAGTGATTACGGAAGTTATTTGACTTAAAACACTCAAGATTCTTGGTTTATTGGTTTAGAGTTTCTATAAAAGGGAGATAATTAAAAAGCAATAGAACATCAATTAGATAGCTCACAATTCACCTGGCTTTGGTACAGTAAGCTCAGTGGGAGGCCAGATTGCAATAGCATTAGATGCTGAAGTTAACCAGAAAATCATGCTAGATGAAAATGTTAAAAATAAACCTATTAGTGGGAGAAAAGCACTCAATGTTATTTTGCTTATTAAAAGAACATGCTCCCAAGCAAAATAAAAATTTTTTCTACAAAAAAAAAAAGGCTAATACTTAACAGAATATGGAGCATTTTTCCAAAGTCCCATGTGATGTCTACCTCCTCTTTTTGCATGCTTCTGTACTTAAACAATCTTCCATTTTTGCCAAAGGTATTATTTTTGCCAGTAGAATATGATTTTAGAGTCAGAAACAAGAAAAAAACTTCATTTTGTTCTCAATATAATCATTATTGTATTTGGTTTAGTAATACTGCATTATGTATTTCTACAAAGCAAAACTCAATGATAGTCTCTGTCTAAGCTATCTGATAAGTTGTTAGATTTTTTTTTTACAACAATGTAGCAACCTTTCACCACATGCATACAAAGTTCCCCAAAAAAGTTCTTTTTACCTTCCCTATTTTGGCAGTACTGCACACTCATGTACCTAATGGCATATTTTATCATTTGAAATGAATAAACATTACACAACATAATGGGTGGTATAGGGAAAATTGGCCGGGGTAAACAAGTCAATAACCATTTACTATTAGAACCATGTTAAAAATAGGGCATGATTCATTCTACCCCATAAAAGTCACAAAGATATTTGCAGTCTTGAGAGATCTTTGAAAAGTTGCTGTTATTTATTTTTATGCTCCCCTATATACCAAAGGAGAATGGGAGTCATATGAAAGTATTTGGAATTATTGACAAACATATTCAGAAGGGAATGCAATTCTTTTTTATACAGTTTGTAATATATACTTGGGGGTTTTATTTTCTGAAAGTAGTTCATCTTTGAGTGGTTTAAAAAAGTGATCTACAGTTAATTTTGACCTAATCATTATCAAAATTTCAAACAATAAATAATAGTCCCTTCAGGGAGAAACTACACTGTAGAAATTTTAAGAACTTAGCAAAATCATCCTCATAAATAGTAGTTACCAATAGGAAATTATAAAATTTTAGAGAAAACAAATCCAAGATCATTACATTCAATGTTTTACTCCTGACACCAATACTGCCTGACTTGATAAAGGACATGCAATACTCCACTAAGGGCAAAACCACAGGGATACATTTCTCTTCCGAGTAACCTCTCCCTTCCCTTAACATCCAATGGCTATATGTTAATACAAAGCCCATTACTTATATTTTAACAAGTTTTTGAATGTTATAAAAGATTATGAAATTAATGTATTAGTTACTTTTTTTTTTTTTTTACTAAAACAACAACACACTTTCATATAGTATTTCAGTGTTACACAGTTTTTGTTTAAGCTTTTTCTAATATAACCTAAACATACTTTTGAAGCCCTTCTGGCCATTGATCATTTTTTAAGGAGTCATCATGACTGACATATTTATGACACATAGAAGTGATCAATAATATTTTCTTTTGTATTAAGAGTAATTAAAATTGAATTTTGATTCATTACACCATCAATGTACTAATTTTTTTATAAACCATCTTTTCTGCCACTTCCCACTCAGCTAATTACACTGGTTAGACCACTTCATATCTCCACACTACATTCTTCCTTACTTCAGAACCTACTCTTCTGAATTCTCCTCTGCCTAAAACTCTTTCACTCCTCCTTTCATTTAGTTATCCATCACTCATAAGTTCCTTTCCTCCTCCTTTCCTTAAACTCATATTTATTGAGTCCCTATTTTGTGACAAGTGCTAGTTATACACTGCAATAAAAAATGATAAGCTCCATGTCTTTGCGTACCTTTCAGTTTGCCAGGAGTGACAGGCCACATAATTGTGGCTTTAAATATTATCTAAATGCCAATAAATTATAAAAGTATTCTCCAGCCTGGACATCTCTAAATCCCTAAATTCCAACCTATATAATACAACCTACTCAATATCTCTAGTAAAGTCTTCAAAAGATATCTCAAAGTTAACATTTTCAATGCAGACTTGCTTTATCCCCCAAAGCCTGCCTTTCCTGAAATCTTCATCTTTGTTGCAGCTACACTAGTCTTCAGCTGCTAAAGCTAAAATCTCATCACCCTTGATAATTCTTCTTTTATAGAAAACATTCAATTTGGCAGCAAATCCTATCAGCTCTACTTTCAAAACATATTTGAAATTCAGCTAATAGTTTATGTATGACCTCCACCACAGTGACATGACCAAAGGACACCTAATTTGTTCCCTGATTCTGATCTTGGTCCAATTGTCTAATATCCACACAGAATCTGTGGGAAACTTGTCTATTATAGCCATATCTGTATCTATGTCTATATTGACATCAATATATTTGTACTAGAAGCCCAGTGTATGAAATTTGTGCATGGGGGTGGGGTGGGGTGGGGTGTTTCTTCCTCAGCCCAGCCTGTACCCTCTCTAATCTAGGACCCCTCAAGGGATGCCTGACTGCCTGTTTAGGCCCAATCCCAATGCATATTACCACTTTATTGTATAGAATATAGACATATTTTTAAATGCCAATCATATAATGTTGCTCTCATGTCTCAAAGCTGATTAATGCCTTCCCATACCAGTCAGAAAGCAGAAAGAAGGCAAAAAAATATCATAGTAGCCTACAATGTCCCAGACCAGAAATGAAATGGGAACATTTGGCCTGAGCTGTATAAGGCCCACAAAATCATTTGGTCTGGCCCTGTCAAGGCAACTGCAGGCAGGACTTGAAATTTAATAAATGCAGGAGCTTTTTTTCATAACATAAATTTCTACTAAGTGAATTATATTAATCGAATGGAATTATAACTATCCAAATGGCCCTTGGCAGAAAAAAGGTTTCCCACTCCTGTGACTTACATGATTTGTATGTTTTATCTTCTAATCACATGTCCTCTCTAACCTCATATCCTGTTATTATTCCCCTCATTCACTCTGTTTTCACCCCACACCTGGTAATATATATACTTAAGGCCTTAACATCCATAGGTACTTGATTTTGGTCTGTTTATTTTGCCCAGAAAGCTCCCCTACAAATAATACCTGCACTCACCTCCTTAATCTTTATTCCCCAGAAACTCTCTCAATGAGTCCTCTCCTAATTGTCTTATTTAAAATTGAGCTTATTCTCTTTAGCAATTTCTTTCCCTTTCTTTCCCTATTTCTTGCTTTGTTTTCACCTATGGCACTTAGTGATACTAACATCCTGTCTTTTTACTTAATCGTTTCTGGTTTTTATCTTTCCTACTAGAATGTGAAAATCATGAGAGCTGGGAATTTTGCTTTTTACATATCGGTTATAGTATAACCATTATACATTCAGAGCAGTCAATGAATGAATGTATAAATGAATCAATTTCATGAGCCAAGTTGTGTTGAGATCATTGATGAATGAAATAGCAAATTAGCTAAAAATGTCAGAGCAGATTCTAGCAAGAAACAAAAGTAAAATTATGTTTCCTAATCTTTAGCGATCCTTATACCTTAATATTTTCTGATTTTTGAAGATAGGAAAGAGGAAAAAATTACCGAAGTATGAACTTGCTCTTTCTTCCCTCCAGGTGGTGATGGCACAGAGCTATATGGTCGGTATTGCAGAAAAAAATGCCTGCCTCATCACAGCGGCCCACAGGAAACCTTGCACAATAAAGCATTAGGTATGTCTTCCCAAAGGAGTGGCAACCAGCCCAAGACTGTGTAGGCCATTAATTGACTTATAAAAATCACGATAGGTACCTGACACCACACTGATTCATTTCATGTTTTAGAGGCAAAGTATAATGACAGGTTGGTTTAGCCTTGCTATTTGTGAAGAAAATACTCATATCACTGAGTGGTGGTGTTGTTGAAATTCTATTCCTGTTGAAAGTTTTGCTCATGTACATTTTACTAAACACTGTAGGGATTTATAATATTAGCAGCTTCAATGCATCTTTCATCTGCTGTGCATAGAGAAAGATTTGAAGCAGCAGAGGTAAATATTATAGTTTATGGGCCCTAAAGAGTAAAAGCAGCAAGGAGAGCTTGTGTGTGTGTGTGTATTAAAGCGAACTGGAAAGAGGAGGCAGGAAATTTACTTCTCAATCATTGTCAGTCACAAATGTATAGTTTGCAAAAACTGACTTGATTATCTATGGAGAGATTTTGATTTTCCAGTTTCTCAAATTCCTTTGGCTTTTAAAAATACTACTACCAAAATATGACTTTGTCAAAAGATTGAAATTTACTTCTAATTCATGAAAGCTAAGTACGCAGATAAAAGCTATGTAATTGAGTAGATGACTTTGACAAAAATGGGAATTCACAGAAGGGAACAATAACTGTTTTCCACTTCCATGCACTGCCCAGTTACATAGGTAACCATTATGAAGGGAAGCAAGCTGGTGCACAGATAGCCAGGGCTGTACTGTGTGGAAATTTTTATTCCTGCTTTGATGCCATACAATATTCAACCCCACATTACTTAAAATATAGTAAACAAAGAGCTATTAAATATCAATAGAAAGAAGCTAATTTGAAATTTGAATCAACATGAAGAAAAAAAGAAGTATAATAACTGCTGTAGCCTGTTACTTTTCCTTTTCTTTTTCTTTTTTAAAATATATTCTATTGATTTTTTATAGAAAGGAAGAGAGGGACAGGTAGCCAGAAACATCGATGAGAAACATCCACCAGCTGCCTCGTGCATACCCCACACTGGGGATGTGCCCGCAACCAGTGTACATGCCCTTGACCTGAATCAAACCTGGGACCCTTCAGTCTACAAGCCAACGCTCTATCCCCTGAGCCAAACCGGTTTCAGCGCCTGTTGCTTTCTCATTAAAAAAAAAAAAAAAAGCCACACATCTAACAACAGAAATGTTGAATAGGGGATGTCAGTGTGATTGGTAGATAATAGAGGAGGATGTCCAGATGGTGAAGTACTTGGCACAAAGTAAACAAAAACCAAAGCCAAGAGATTTTGTATTCTGAAATGGACTCCAGGGGATAAAGCAGCCAGGGGTTGTACGTATATGATCATTTAGAGCACAGCAGAAAATAGCACCACGAAAACATGATAGAAGTGAATGTGCCCAGCAAAAATAAATACCAGTGTGACTCAGAAAATAGAGAAGGTGACAAAGTGGTTGTAGAGACCAGTATGTTCCATATACAGCACTAACACCAGGTCCACCTGAATTTAGGCTCAAGTTATGCGGATATTTATTGAGGAAAACGCATTTTGTGATCTTATCGTTGAATACTTTCATGCTTGATGACATCTGAACACTAGAAAACTAGTTCTCTCGATAACCATATTCCACTCAACAAAGCAATTTAATAAAGAATGTAGAACCTCATGAAATACATCTTAAAAGTGCTCAAGAATATGTGGATTTATCCAGAGGGTGTGTATGAGTTCTTTACAGATAATACGGCAAAATGGAGCCCTCTTGACTTATTAGTTTGAGAATTTTGATAATGTTGTTCAATCATTCTATTTAGATTATGTACTTGTGACAGAATCAAGAGCCCTTTTTGTTTTGCATTTGAAAGTGAAACTACGTGCACTTTTTTTTTTGTATATCAAGTATATAATTTAAAAAAATTATACTTGCTTTATGTGCCCTGACTGAGGGTGAGAGCATACCCATAACTCAGGTACTTGCCCTTGATAGGAAAATGAACCCATGACCCTTCAGTACATGGACCAACATTCTACCCATTGGGCAACACTGGTCAGGGCTAAGTATTTTTCCTTTAACATAATATCTCTGTACTCTGTTGACAGTAGCATAAAATATGAGTATGAAATAAACTTTCTAATACATACCAGAACTTATATAAGTCAAATATTTATTGTGTTCCTAAATCATCACCAACCTGACAGTATTCTTTCAATCACTGACTTCTCTTTAGAGTAGCAGCTCACCTGGAATTAGCTAGAAAGGCATTTTATAAGTGCCATAAGAAATGTAGTTACATTTTCTGTGGTCAGACCTTGAATTGCTCATTATGCCATCTCTTTCAGCATATCTATCTATCTACTGCTGACATCTATGCAGCCAGGCATATTGTTGGCTTGAAGGGAGAATTAGTGATATTGCAGCTGTTGAATAACACCCAGGAAAAACAAAAGGCTCTGTTGAGAAGATTGGGGTTTACAATGAGGACGATCAATTTTGTCAGAACCCTCAGCAGCAGCTACCACATCACCTGCCATGAAGTACAGAGTTCATTTTTTTCCAGGAATAGTAAAAAGCCAGTTACATATAACTTCAAAACATACACACATGATAGAAATAATTAATACTGTGTCCCACATGAGGAAACCAGAAATGGACAGAATAAGTATTTGACCAATGTAACAAGTTTAAGTGAACTTGAAAGCTAATCCAAGCTGATCTCAGCTTTTAAATTTGCCCTTGTAGCATCAGCAGATGCGCAAGTTTGATTAAGGCACTCCTGAAAAACGCTGGAATGCTTGAGAGGCTGATGCAAATGAAATATCATTGTTTTTGTTGGATTATCTTCCAAAATGTTTTAAAACATGCAATTGCCTTCATTTTTCAAAGAAATTTTCAATGTTCCAGAAGGAAATGCTATGGCTCTGTACCTTGAGGACTATTAGTGCCTTCTGCTTATAGTTGGAATGACATAAAATGTTTTATGAGTTTCTTAAAAACCAAATCAAACCATCACAACAGCTGGCATAAAGAATCAAGCAAAAAAAGACTTTAAATATAGAAAAACAAAATCATTTGGTTTTTGTGAAGTGTACAGGAAGTAGTGATTCAGAGAACCAGTCTATGTTTTCCTTATTGATATCACAATTAGATCTGAAATTTGCTACTGCGAGTGTTAAGAAACCTGTTATGAGAAAATGCAAATTGATTAGGTTAATGCTTGCTGTATGACAAAAATTGATTTGATGACTTATCAAAATAATCTTACAAATAATTTAAAAGAAGCAGCAGGACCTTTAATGAAAAGCAAATTTCCTTGCCCTAGCCAGTTTACTCAGTGGATAGAGTGTATGCTCAAGGCCTGAAGGGTCCCAGGTTTGATTCCGGTCAAGAGCATGTGCCTTGCCGAAACCAGTTTGGCTCAGTGGATAGAGTGTAGGCCTGCGGACTGAAATGTCCCAGGTTTGATTCCAGTCAAGGGTATGTACATTGGTTGCAGGCCCATCGCTGGTTGGGGGTGTGCAAGAGGCAGCCGATCAATGACTCTCTCATCGATGTTTCTGACTCTCTGTCCCTCTCTCTTCCTCTCTGTAAAAAATCAATAATATATATATATAATATATAAATAATATATAAAAAATCAACAATATATTGTATATAAAAACATGTGCCTTGGTTGCAAGTTCCCTGGCCCTGGTTGGGGTGCATGCAGAAAGCAACCAATTGATGTGTCTCTCCCACATTGATGTTTCTCTCTCTCTGCCTTTTACTCTCTCTAAAAAATCAATGGAAAAATATTCTCAGGTGAGGATTAACAACAAAAGAAAACAAAAAAGCAAATTTTCTTATTTGTTACAACCTACTTTGACATCATTATTATCCAAAATTTGTAGTTTTCATTAGGGTTAATGTTAGCTGATTTCTATTTTATTTTCACATTATGTTGCAAAAGTAATATAAGGCATATGTATATATATTTCTCCAGATTCCTCAACTATTTGCATTTTTCCCATTGGATTTTGTATTCCTCTTTTTTTCAAACCATTGAAAAATTGAAAACACCATTCTCTATTATCTTGTAAACGTTAGGCATTTGATAACATTAATTACCTAAATATTGTACAATTATAGAATTAGGAAATTTGAAATTTAGCAGTGACAAAATACTATTAACAGTTTTCTCTGACTGTGTATGTATATAAATATACACACATATAATATATATACATATATATGAATATGAAAGGAACCAGCTCTGTATTTTCCTTACATATATAGTAATTTGTATGTATATACAACATATGTAGTATTATATATAGTAATATTAATTTTATATACACAAATAGTTTTCAAATAGTTTTGTAGACATTTAGAATGTCATGAAATGTCACTAAAACTTGGGGCGCCAGGTGACATTAAAGTTTGCAGTGATGGACACTAATGAAGCAGCTCTGTTAGTAGATTAATTGATGGCCATACATGCCACTGGAGGAATGCAGTGTTCACATGACTCATTCCCTTCTCGGGTTTTAAAATGAGGTGAGAATATCAGAGACAATTGGTAAACTGTGAACTGCATAAATCTCTTTCTCTCTAATTACCATTCTCAGTTTCCTCTTAATCCACTAGGTTAATTTTTGGAGAGGAACAATATCTACAAGTTATTAAACTGGCAGAATATAGGAAGAAACTTTTATTCTATATCAAGCATTTTTGTGGCTATATAACTCACTTGCCTTTTCCTACACCACCGTAATTTTCTGAGTATTTTTTTAAACATTGCAAAACATGGATTGTGAAGGTCAGATATGGATAGTATTGTAATTCTTCATGTTTTTTTTAAAAAAATTTTTGCTCATTTTTAATTTGTATTTGTTTTATGTTTTATATTTTATGAGTGTGTTTACATTGCTTTGAAAATCCTATATAGCAATATTGAAATATTAGTTTTGATACAGAGGAGAAGACTAGGCTTTAACCTTCAGTAAATTCTGACAAGGTTAATGTGAACAATAGCAAGCTTCTGAACCATGTACATACTCACTATAGTGCATATACACTATTGCAACAAAAGACACTAAAGAAGTTCACCCATATAACAAACGTATGTAAACTTTTTTCATGACTAGATATTCCAATTTTCCCTATTGCTTTTCCATAGTTTGCAACAAATAACTTACAAATAAAGCAACAGCTTCATTCAAATTGAAAGGAAACAACTAAAAATGACTTTTATATGAGAAGAAAAGGTGCTGATTTCTTTAACATTCCACTCAAATCTTAAAACATACAGAATAAAGCATTATTAAAAATGTCACATTTAATAACAGTTATCAGGAAGCAAGTTATTTAGTTCAAGTAATTGATGCCTAGGATAGGAAAAGTCTTGCCATTGAAGAGGATCTGATGCTAGCAGGTAAAATTATAGTCAGTAAAATTCTAGGACAAGTCTCAGTGTGCAAAATCTAAACCATTTCATTCTCAAACAGCAGGAAAAGTCAATATGCTAAACAAGGTGTTTTTTTTAATAACTGAAAAATAGCAGTTCTATTCAGATGATGAGCAATCCTATTTCAGCAATAAGTATCAGGCTCTAGCCTTTTAGAGTTTTATAAATGATGATGAAATTTAGGAAAAAAAATTTCTGTTGCAAAATACTGCTTGAAACAAGCAAAGGTAAAGACATACTTCGTATTTTTGTCTTTATATCTAGAAACAAAAGGACTATTTTGGAAAAAACTATATCGGTATCTATATTTATCATTTTCCATCAGAAATTTGTTTTAGCAGAGGTTTTGACTCTTAAAGAAAAAAAAAGGGGGGGAGCGAAAACCCTGACATTACAATGCAGAACTGTTTTCCCACAGAGAGATGCTACATCCACAATTTTTAATAATAAATTGGGGGGAGGATATGTATAGTTTATGAAAATCCTGGCTTTATTATTCAAAAACCAGTTCACGTGAGCATATTTACAAACTATGAAAATGCAGACAAGGAGCACATAAATCATCTGCTAAGTGAAGACCGTTGTGATGGTTTAGCAGAGGAAGATTGTGAGACACGACGCTCTAGCCAAAACGCGAGCTACATGAGAACGTTTAAGAAAATAGCAGGCCAGATTTTGCTTACTGCTTTGAAGGTAAAAGAATGAGTTCAAAACTAATCTGCTTAAAAGAGAGTTTTCAACACATCAACCAGTTGAACAAGTTTCTTCCAGGCCTTGGAGAAAATGCTTTGACTTCAGGGAACAAGGTCCTATGAAATATCATGTTGCCAAAAAAGCCAAAACAACAAAAAAAAATCTTGAACTATAGGCTTGGACAGAGGAAAAATAATCAAGCCTCAAATCTAGCAAAAGATTATATAAAAAAAAAATTGCAGACCAAAGTTTAACAGTATTTGCCTTCCCTTTCTAGGCTGAGTCGTGCAATCCTTCTTCAGAACCTGCTGTTGGGCAGAGAATTGGACTTTGAGAGAAGACCACGCCAGTGAGTTGCACTGCAGTTATACTTGCTATCCTAAGCAAGCAGTCCATTTCTTTCACAATTTCTGTGACAGAAGATCAGGCCATTCTTAATAATGCAATAAACATTTTGCTCCTGTTTTCAGCTTCTTACATGTGTGACTAAGCTGCTTTGTGTAACAAGCATCTTGAGCAATGTAATTAATGTAATTTCTAATTGAAAATAAATGCCTTTGTATCTCCCAATTTTATCTGAGAATTGAGTATTTTGTATAACAAAATGTAAATACTCTTTTCACATTAAAGACATTTTATTCTTTATTTTGTATTATTAAAAATAATAATTTTAAGCACACATAGGCCTATAAGAAGAGTTCAAGAAACCAGCACCTTTCTATTATAATTTTGTATCACTATGCTTATATATTATCTTTTATGATACCACACAGTGAAAGAAAGTGTTTCTAAGCCTTATATAAATTAGTATCTTAGGCAAGTTTGTATACATATTGTTTGGATCATGTTTGATCAGATTTGCTATTTGAATATTGTCAATTTCATCAATAAAAATAAACTTACAACTTTTATTTAAATTAAATATATTTAGCCTACCTTTATAAATTAAGTCCCATTTTCCCATAAGCCACAATTTAACAAAAACTTAAGTTTGCCTTATAGTTTAAAAAATTTTTACAAAGAAACAAAATTAAATTCACAAAAGGTAAGCTATGCTGAACCACCTTTCCATTATTTCCAAGAAAGGTTGTCTACAGATTTAAAAAGAAGGAAGCTTGAGGGAGAGATCAACCAAAGGATTTGTGTGCATGCATATGGGCCTAGCCAGTGGCCATGGACAACAGGGGGGTGGGGGCATTTGTGGGGAGGGGTTTGGGTTGAGGGCAATAATGTGATACCATAATCAACAAAATTTAAAAAAATAATAAAAAAGAAGAAAGCTTGAAATTGTCCTTAAACAACAGTGCCATGTATATGTGTGTGTATATATATATATATATATATATATATATATACTTCATTAGATACTTGCATAGCAGAAATCTATAAGAATTTAAGACCTACTTGGATACAAAAAATGGAAAAACTAAAAATTTTTTTATCTGCCTCACTGGCTTACATTAAAGTGAATGCAGTTAATGAGGAAGGGCAACCATACAAAGGTCATAGGCTAATGAACTGGCTAAAATAAGCACATTCATAGGAACATATAATTTTCTACTTAAAATTGTTATAACATTAGATCTATAACTTACCGCCCTCATTAAGTTACTAACAGCCAAAGGTATATAATTTTGCTTCTGAGAAACCTTAAAAAATATTTCAAGGATTTCCCCAGAATAAAAAGATTGAGAAATATTGTTGTCTTTTATACATAACATAGACCAAAAGAAAGATACTAAAACAGAGAGAAAGATGGACATAGTTATTTTTTCTGTTATCATGTCCCTTCACTCTTAAAAATACTCCAGGTTCACTCTCCTATATTACCGCCATACAACTCATTCATTTAGGAAATCAAGACTCCAACAATGTTATCTTCTAATCCACCAACTCTGCTTTAATTTTTTCCAAATATAACTTATTTGGAAAATATATCATTTTCAGTCCACATACCTGTACAGAAAATAGTGTTGCTTCTAATTTTTAGGTCTCAGAAATCTTTAATCTGGTAGAGTTGGTTAATCTGTCCCTGTCTCTTATGTCATTAATAGTCTAGAGCCAGGGTCAGCAAACTGTGGCTCTTTGGCTCCTTGAGTGTGGCTTTTCCACAAAATACCATGGCCTGCGCTAGTCTATTTTGAAAAAGTGGCATTAGAAGAAGTTTAAGTTTAAAAAATTTGGCTCTCAAAAGAAATTTCAATTGTTGTATTGTTGTATTGTTGATATTTGGCTTTGTAGACTAATGAGTTTGCTGACCACTGGTCTAGAGTGTTACAGGCCTTCTGTGCTAGAAGACCATGAACACCTAGGTCTGGACAATGCTTCCTCATAACCAGACTCAGGTTTCTCTGTGGTAAAGTCATTGTATAGAGAGTTATTCCAATATTCCACCAGCATACTGTTCTTTAGCAAAACTTCAGTCACCATTATGATTTTTCCAAATTATGATCATCTATCATTCCCTCATTATTTTCAGTTATTGTTAAAGAAGAGTATTTTCTCCCTATTTTATGAAATGAGGTATAATCTGATAATTTAATTTATTTTTATGCTCAAATTGTTCTAAGTTTGCTCAGCAAGAGAACCTTCAAACAGGCTCTTAAATATTTTTGACATGTTTTTATCATCCTTTGTGCATGTCCTGGACAAGTTTTTAATGCTATTTCAAAACAAGAACTTTTCTGTGTGCCATATCATGGAGTCTGCTCATATGTATGTATGTATACACACTTAACAGCTGATAGCTCAATTGGTGTTTATTTTCTGATTTAACCCACTGGAATTAATAATTATTCAAAGAGTATATACATTTTGGGGGGATACCCTGAGTATATTTCAGCAACACACACACACACACACACACACACACACACGTGCGCGCGTGCATATATACAAAGTTGTTTCTCATTATTTAAAATAATTTTGCTCTATCAAGTCCCTGCAAACTCCAAATTAGGGAGCACTAAACCATTTCTATGAGCATCTGATCACATTTTCACCAATTGATCAATACCTAAACTTGTATTATGTATATTTAAAGACACCAGATTTAATATGTGCTATGGATTCATTAACACTGAACTCTTTGCCCAGCACACTGTAACTCCTGTCTGAATAAAAGCATATCTAACACATGAATTTTCTCCATAGGCTCATCATAGTTGTGTTTTGCTTAGGAAGATTAGACAGAACTTTAACACTTCGCGTGGGGGGCATTTTAAACAGCCAAAGCACCAACAAAAAACAAAAATGTGAAACAGAGTGAAACAGAAGGCAGAGCATTGCCTTGATCAACCTCAGCGGGGCCCGGGCCAGTCAGGCAACTAAAACTTTCACATGTCCACGAAGGACCATGAGAGCTGTATTGACTTTGGAGTTACAGATAAATTCTAGCAAGCAAGTGAATTCTCAAATATGTAATCTGTGAATCCTGAGGAAAGAATATACATTTAAAAGAACAAAATACATTTCATTCCTCTACTTCTAATGCAAAAACCTCAAATTCTACTAAGCCTTCTCTTTTTCCATGGTTGTAAAATAATTTCTCAATAGGTAAGATACTTGTAAATCCAACCAGTCCCAAATTATTGACTTATTTGACTAATCCACAAACTTATTTGCTCAGTGTAACAAAACTCCAATCACTCTGATTACCTCCTCTGTCTGACCTTGTACCATCCCATTCTCCAGACTGCTGAAAACCATCCCATTCTCCAGACTGCTGAAAACCTATTTCCTTTCAACCCTGGATCCCTATCACTGCCTTTCTCTCTCATTGGCGATGAAATACTCCCCCCTCAATGTCCAGCTTCCTCCTGTGTCTGACATTACTATCTTCACATGGATGATCAGGAAGCGCACTCACCCCTGACCACCTGCTTCCTGGAACATAGATGACTTAGGTTGAGCCAATAACTAGGAATAAAATCACTGGGTAATACAGAAGGTATATGTTTAATCCTATTAAAAATTGCCAATCACAGTAACATTTTACCAAGTTCTTCTTCTCTATATTGTCACCAACATTTGATATCATTTTTTAAATCATTCTGGTGTGAGTGAGATCTATCTCCTTTTGATTTTCTCTTTCCTGATAACTAAAAATGATGTCTTTTTTTAATCAAGTTTCTCTATAAGTTTTTGCAATTCATTTCATCTTTTTATTAAAGTATAATTTACCTACAATGAAATATTCAGATCTTAAAATTACTTGACAGTTGAACTTTGAAAATCCATATGCTCATATAGCCTGCATTATTATCAAGGCATAGATCATTTCTATAGTTCTTGAATATATTTATTGTGTCTTTTCTCAATCAATCATTTTTCTACCCCAAATGCCCAGAAGAAACACTGATGTTATTTTTATCACGATATAGTAGTTCTAAACATTATGGAGCTTCTTATACACATATTTATTTGTGAATAAAACTCTTCAATTAAGTATAATTATTTTTGAGATTCGCCCATGTTGTTGCACACATCAGTAGCTAATTCCTTTTTATGACTAAGAGGTATTTGATTTTATTAGAATACTGTAGTTTTTTTATTCATTGCCCCATTTATGGACATCTGTGTTATTTCCACTTTTGAGTTACTATGCATAAAAAAGCTATAAAGATTCTTTGTACAAGACTTTTCATGGATTTACTTCTTCAGTTCTCTGCTATATATATATAAAGCAACTGGCAAAGAGTTTTCTGAACATGTTCTACCTTTTGTCTACTTTAATTAGATTGTCTGCCATTTTGCTTTTGAGTTATGAGTTCTTTCTTTTACCGGAAAAAGTCTAACCAAAACAACTGCTTCTCATTGTACAAAAAAACAACAACATTATTCCAAGGTTTTAACACAGCCAAAACTGTCTTCTTAAATGAAAGCAAAAAGGAACAACTCAACAACGCTCTTCTAGAAAATGATCCAAACTTAAGGTCTTGTTTTGGCAAAATTTACATATTGCCCTGTGCTAATAAACTACTAAAAAGTAAAAACCTACATTCATTACATTTTTCTTCCCCACGTGCATAAACTATGAAAGCATCAGAGAAGGCCATGCCTTTCACTGCTACTGATGACTTACAACTCAGAGCTCCTGAGTTGTATGTAGGAGGGGAGACACTTTCCCTCTATACTCCGAGGTTTAATAGTTGAGTCTATAAAACAAACTGAAGCAAGCAGATTAAGAGAACAAAGGTATATACAGTTATTGATTTTAATAAGTTAATAATGGGCAGGATTATCATAGGAAAAGAAATGAATACCTACTGTATTTTTGGCATATGAGACGACCCCCTTATTTTACAGTTAAAACATAGGTTTAGGCCTATATTCGCTGTATAAGACTACCCCCCACTTGCGAGGCAACACCAGTTCTTTTTTTAATAGACCGCCTCTCTGACTCTGGCCAATCTGAGCAGGCTTTTTACTAGAACACTGTGTCATCTTATACGCCGTAAAATACAGTAAATGGTGTGACATTTGAGAGTTTATATTCCATGTTAATATGGAAAGGGGTAGCGGGATGTAGGCATCTTAGGGGAAAGAAAATAATTT